ATATAGAAAGTATACTAAATTTTAATCTATTTCCTTCCCAACCAGTTTTAACTGTGGTCAAATTAAAAGCCGAATTGTCATACTTGAAGCATATGTATGTATACAGTATCGATTGCTACTAATTGGATCATTATGACGTTGTAATGACCAATTAGTAAATTAACCGAGTCATCTCAAACGGACGGAGATAGTATATTAGTTTTTATGATCGTATTGTTGAAATTTATATTACTGAACTTGATGCTTACACACACACACACATATATATATATATTTGTATATATATATAGAGATATGTATAGATAGAGGTTTTTTGTCATATTACATTAAAAGTAATATAAAACAGATACGGATATAATTTTCTCTTAATTTTGATTTTAGATGTATTGTTAGCTTATTTCTCATCTAAATTCTCATGTTTTCTTACGAAAACCAAGTTGATATCTGGACATATTTATACACATATGATTAATTATTTCATATATAATAAATATACAATAATTAAATCCGAGGCGTCAGTATCCGGCCGTAGCCCGTAAGTCACTTAGCACGATCTATAACATACCTAAACGTTTTACGACTGCTTTATTGTGGGCCATCAAAATCCGTCCGCCATCTTGTACATACTAAAAAAAGCTCCCAGTTTTTTATGATGCCTCCATAAAATCCTAAAAGCTCGTTAAGTCTCCGAACTGGACTTTGTTCTCGTTAGCTCCTAAACTACTGGGACCAACTATTTATGATGATATATTTTTTAGTCTTTATAAGATATTAAGTATTCGCTCATAATGCTATTGAATAACTTATAGATTTTATTAAAAACTAGATTTAGACCGCGACTACTGCTGTATCAAGTTGATAGTGCTATAAGAAACGGATAATATGCGCTTACAAAAATGTTTATGGTTAGCAGCTCACAATATACAAAATTAATTATATGATTTCACATCAAATATAACTTTTGAATATTCTCAATTTTATCTTAAATTAAATCCTATACATCATTATAATGTCTTATCGACTTTAGAGGAAATTGGCATCAAAATCGGTTTAGTACATTTTGTGTCAAAGACTAACAAACATCCATTTATTCTCAGTCTCTGCAACTGTCACAATTAGAATATATATAAAATTTGAAAATGTTGTCTTGTATATAATGTATTAAACCTTTAGCTGGAATTATTTTAGACATCATAGTTGTACCTCACACTTTTAAAGTCGGTTAGAAGCCACTTAATGTACATTTTCATCAGTTACGTAGATCAAGTCAAACAAACAAACATCTCACAGAATCCGTCTGTCCACACGTCTAATAACACGGGCCAGATCTCTCTGAAGTACACCATACGTTAATACTATAGCGCCATCAATTTAAAACATTTGACATTTTTATACATATTTAAAATCTCTCTTTGAAGACGCTAGATTTATTAAATTCTTTAGACATATTGCATCTTTAATTTTTTTTGACATTCTGGCTCTCATATGAAGATATTTATAGCATATAGATAAAAAAACTATTAATTGTTTAGGGTTCCGTACGAAAAGTGAAAATCTTGATTATTTTACTAAGATTAGTCTATCTGCCACTAGAATCAATTGAAATGTTCATAGAGGATGTATTTATTTTAGCTTTATAACAATAAACTATATTATAAAATATTAAATAAAGAATAAGACGGGTTTTAATATGACAAGATTCCATATAAAAAAAATATATATTTTTTTTTTATATGGAATCGTATAGAATTTTTCTTCCCAAATCCTTCATGTATTTGAATGGTCATTGTTTCTTATTATTACATTATATAAGCAGTAACTCGTTCTGAAATTTAAGTCCAAAGTTATAAGTAAAATTATTCATTCATAAAATATAAGGAAGACTTTGGAGTCCCATTAAAAAAACTCATTTAAAAAAATAATTCCTAATCTTTGTATGATAAATTCCTTGTTCATTTTATTTATTGCATTCACAGAAATTATAATATATAAAATTTTATTCTAAATTTCACAAACCAAAATTATGCGAAAGTTGTTGAAATATATTTATTATATCAATAAAATACTGGTTTAGTTTTTTTCTCATATAAAATGCTGGAATCCTGTTTTAGTGAATCATAAGTTGACAGTTATATTTATTATAATATTTCTACTTATATAATAAATAGGAAAAAATTAGGTCTCTGTATGTGTAAGTCACAGTACTGAAATACATAGAATAAACTGTTTAACAAATATAATTTTAACTCTGAAGTTAATATCAAACAAACTTAATTAATGTACATATGAATTAACGAAAATAAACATTAAAAATTAAATAATCAAATAGTTAAAATAATTTTAACTCCATCAGTTAAATTATATTTTAAATCACGCCAGATTCATTTGCTATAGTTTATTGCAATTAGTTAAATCAGCGACATATTTGAACGTTAATGTTTTAACTGACATTAACTGTATTTAGTAATCCAATTAATTTATTAGGTAATCATTAAAATGATCAGTTATACGGATGAGTGGTAATTGTTTTTATAATATATTAATTTGGATGCATTGTTTTAGTGTTGAATGCTTGGCCCAAATAAGTTGGCTGTTGGTGGGTGTTGGGGGTTGGGGGTTAGGGGTTCGTGAGGGTCGGCAGGGGTTGGTTCATAACATAGTGTCACTGGTTGTTGACATTCCAACTTGTCAAATCTCTCGCCGGCTGGTTTACTCTAAATACGTAGATTACACATACCACTGGGTCGCTTTTAATGAGAAATATTAAAGTTTTTTTTAACATATTGTTCTCATTAATATAACGGCATATTTTTTCACATATTTTTTCGTATTTTCATCTCGTAGAGTTAGCATCTGTTATTAGTTCGACAATGAAAAAATAAAAAATGTATTCTTGCAGTAGCATTTGCTTTAACAATTTTCCTCGAATTTCCGCGAAAATGTAGTAACGAATCTGTGTTTACGCTTCAAAATACGAGCGTGACGCAATTTGCAACACCCCGGGGGAGGACTTCAAAGGGCTCGCCGACAAAGCGCTAAATAAGATGAAAAAAAAAATAAATATTACAAACGACAATGGACTAGGAAATCGGGACTTCGGATATACTGTTTTGGATTTAACGCGACGAAATTACTTAATATATGAGCATGTATGGAGCCATTTAAAGACAGCCTGACTTGATTCAGGATTTGAGAGTCGTTTGTTAAGACTCTCAATGGATGAAAATGGAACCCTTTCAAATTAGATGTTCGAGCTCGTTTCGTTTCGCGTCAAATGCAATGTGAAATGTGTAGTTAGCTTCTGTGTACATTCTGTAATGCATTCCATAATTCATACACAGTTTCTTTTTTTCGTATATTTTTGATGCAAAACTTGTTTACTATTTTTGTTTTAATTTTATGAATTCACATACATTTATATTGTTAAATTTCTTAGATCACGTTTTTAATTACAGCGTATTTTCAATAGTTAGGATGTCTTTTAAATCAAATATTTCTTGTTATTAAAATGAACTTTAATTATAAGAGAATCAGGTCTTGATATATGTTTATACAGACAATAAATCGAGTATTAGTTATTAAAGTATTAAAATCAGTTACATTGTAAGTACGTCGTCACCGTCCGTCAAGGCAGCTGGCTCTCAATCAATATATATAAAACAAACAATGTATCGAAGCTAAGTTGTTATAAATCTTTGCAATTATCAAATTCTCAACTCCGTCTCATCTGCATAAACGCACACACTCCAAACCGTGGTACGCACGCGCGGCGGCTACATCAAAGCGAGCCCGACCCCTTTGTGTTCGCCGCCGGCGCGTGCCGTCTTTTTTCTTTTCCTCCGCAGCGCCGTCTAAGTGTTGGTGTGCGAGGGAGACGGCCGGCCGGCGACTGGTACAGCTTCCGATGTGAATATTTCACCTCGTTATCCAGTCTTGTTTGTGTTAGATAGTGTTAGAACAACGATTGAATTAATACATCGATATCGATGATCCACAGAATACAACCGATCATCACTAACGACCGCATTCAGCATCGTATATTGAATTAACTTTCAATTATTATAATCTAATAATCTTGATTAGTTTTCACGGAATATGAATAAATTAATACAGACGCCTCAATTCTGATTTAATTGCAATATTCACTAAGACACTAGATACATTCATAATTATTATAAATTACCATAGTAGGACTAAATGAAATAAAAACAAAAATGTATATAGATTTTTTTTATCGATAAGTTGAATCATCGATAAGTGTATGTTAATCCCTAGTTGTATACAGCTCCCGGGCAAGACAGGAATCTGCCGATATCAGTACTAGTAATTAAAATAGACTTATTGCGTATCGTACCTTATGGTTCTTACGTTTACACTTATACGTATTTGGGTGTTTCTCTGCTATTTAGAAACTCATTACTACAAGACTGTCCTAACCAAAATTTATCAAATGTTGAGAATGTTTGTCAATACAAAGCAAGGTAATAGTATATCAAAAATATATATTCAAGAAACACACACATTTTTTTCTTTGTTTTTGAGGTATGAGCGGTTTTGTGCAAAATCGTGACAGGGTAATGTTGTGACTAACCAGGGGAATGTTTTTATGAACAAAAACTAATATTTTTGTATGTTTAAATAATCAAATCTTTATTTTTATTAGCACTTACAATGTGTAATTATTACTTAAATAATCAACGAGATCAAAACTAAATTCGCTTACAAAATAGAGACATTTTAATAACATTTGTTATAAACTGAACAAAATCAACTTCTTACTTTAACAGTCTTTCTAAAATACTGATTGTTTGACATAAGTCAGCTCTTAGAATGTTAATGAAAATAAAAACAAAAATATTACCTCTGTTATCCTATTATTACAATAAACTTTTTGGCTTACAACTAAGAAACATTTATACTTTTTAGGTAACTTGAAATAATTATCATTAGTGGCACAGTATATCACTAAAAATCAATTTTATCTTTCAGAGAAACATCTCTTATTTCTCAAAGACATGTACTGATTTTCGAAAACTATAAAATAATCTACTTCCTTTAACAGTCACGTTCGGAACAGGCAACTTTTCCAATATTTGGTCAAAACCGACATCAAACATATCATTCTCATCTATTCTAAACGTGTAACCTTTGTTATCACAAATTTTCAGAAAAGTCACTGTTAGTTCGCCGTCCTCATCATCTACTTTATTAACAACAGCAGCATAACGATATTCCCTGTTCCCGACAGTAAACTTAACTAGAACATAATCACCACTGTTATAATAAGTTTGCTGAAGGCCGCTTGTACTAGGCTCCGCAGTATTCTCAAGATCAGTCTTAGTATTTTCAATCGGTCTTAAAAGGACAGTCTGTGTAATGCAGTCATTATTCCGTGGGATTTGAGCTAGCGGGATTTCGTCTTCGGAATCGGAGTCTGTGTAGAAATCCTCGACGTGAAGTTTTGCCACTTCATAGTTCATAACACCTAGGTTAAAATGCTGGCATTCTTCTTCACAAGGGCAGCTTAAGCTCTTCATTATAAGTTTGGCAGTGCCTTGTGGCAAACCCAAAGGACTGCGTGATATCTTTCCCTTAATCTGATGTATTTTAAGGGTGCCATAAAAGCTTTTTAATTTTTTGGCGTCTTTCAGAATATCGATAGCCATTTTTTTTTATTGCATCATCGTCAACTGTAAATAGAGTGATTGAAGGACACCTTTGACGTACAGAGTCTATAAAAGATTCCAAACTATCGATATCTCCTCCTGCAGCAACGACAGCATCAGCAGATCTTTTGCACGTGGCGCCAATACCATCTGCGGCACTCTTGCCATGGCCACTCTCTGAAAAATTCCAGGAGAACTTTTCTACATTTGGAACCTCCACATGTAGCCTCGAAGCCAGAATATGGAACATCGTTTTATTTCGATACTGTGTAACGGGTCCGTCGCTCACAAAATGAATGCCGGTAATATGCGATGGTAAAGTTCTAAAAATAGGCTTCAAATGTTCCCAAATAGCAGCAGGTGAGTGTGTAGTATTTTGGGAAACAGTACAATAGGATTTTAAGGCATTTTTAGTGTAAACTACCACGGTATGAAGGCTAAGCTGAAGTCTAGAACCTCCAAAATGATAGGCCTGTATCTCCTCACTGTACTTGGTACAGTAATTTTCTGAAAAGTCCATGAGTATAACAACTTCATTATCATTAAGATTCTCTTTTAACTCTTTGATAGCTGTGTACTGATGAAATATGTTTCTTTCGTGGTTATAATACGCATCCAGTTCATCGTGTAGTTCTTGTATTAATTCACGAGGACTAACCGTAATTTTCTTTTTCACATATTTTGTTATAGATCGTACTTTATTTAACTTTGGATCTTTGTAATCTTGTTTCTCAGCTATCCATTTTTTATACACTATAGGCTTGCTATCATCAAACTCTTGGTAATCAGGATTCTTATTGAAACAATGCTGACATTCCCGAGATAAACATTGCTCATCATAACGATTACAGCAAGTTTTTTCAAGCAATTTATTATGATTATCGTAGCGCAAAATCTTCCGGCAGTACAAGGCAGATAATTTCATATCAATGTTTGCGTGTCTGATACAAAGGCATGTATCCCGTTCATTTATTTTGGGTGTTACCACCCAGAATGGACGCAAACGACAGAATGTCTGATAACTGATTAGACCTGAGTGATTACTCTTAAATTTCTGGTACAAATTGGTCAATGTATCTAGCAAGTATCTCTTTTGCTTTTTGACTCTGTTCTTGGTTACACATTCCCGTTTTCCTGCACCAATTCTGCTATTATCATCATTTTCATAAAAATTTTGTACTATCTTCATATGTTCGGATGCAATAAGTGGTAGTCGAGTCCGTGTTGTGGGTAATAATGATAGATTTTTAATTTTCTGAAGCCTCTTATAGGACACCACACTTTCTTGGCTCCTCCATAACTTATATTTTTCAACCAATTCACCTGATATAACTTTTCCGAAAATATGTTTCTCTTTTTGTGTTTGTAATCCTGCATAGTTTTCTTTTAATTGTTTATTTAATACTTCCCCAAAAAGTGCCTTCTTAACAACGTCTTTGCGAGTTGATGGAGTGACACACATTCGTGTTAGTTTTGTGTTAGGTGTCTCATCTTTTTTACCGTTTTTATTAAGTTTTTGTTCCAACCGTTGTAATCTTTTCTTATATTTTTCCAATTTCTGTTTGTATTGTTGAATCTTATTGTCTTTATCTTTCAATATCTTTGCACGTTTCTTTCTAGCCTGTTTCTTTCTTGCCTCAACTAATGCATTTTCTGACGACCTTAATGGCGCCGGACATTCTAATGTTGGGCCAGTAGTAGAATCTGGTGTATTTTCCCTGACAAAAGTATTAGTTATTTCTTTCATGGCCCTTTTTTTTTTTGACGATATTTAGTACAGCGCTCTTTCCAAGTCTTTTTAGCAGCCTTATGCTCGCGACGACTCATATCCTTAACCAATTTTATGCTCCCTTTTTCTTTCTTCTTTTGGTATTTCAGCCTTTCTTTTTCTTTCATTTCTTCTAGTTTTTGAGGGTCATTTTTAAGGCGTTGATATCTCAATTGTTCAGCTATTCGTTTTTGTTCTAATATTTCTTCTCTTGTTTTGGGTGGCTTCTTTTTAGGTGGCATTTTGAGCTATAACCTACGAAAAAGAACGATAATTATATTATTAACGCTGAGGAAGATTGATGCGCTATCTAGCAATGAAGTCTTTACAAAACTTAAAAAACATTCCCCTGAGGTAAGAAACACTCCCCTGTGCAAATAAATGACAGGGGGATGTTGACCAGGGGAATGTTTTTTTTAACTTGAAAACCAAATAACACAAAATCATTAAAACATATCACATTTATAACACAGATGTGCAGACATGATTGCTAGTAAAATAATGTAAACAAATTATCTTATTTAAAACTCTTAAAATATGAAAACAAATGCTCACCAGTGGAGTGTTCGTACTAACGGCCGCGACGCGTGGTTCACATCCAAACACAGTGGTGCTACTGACAAAATGGCGGCTGTCTATTTACATTGACAACCGAACGAACTTCACACCGTTTGCGTTCCATTTCACCGTTGAAATGTTTTAGACTAATAACGTAAGTGATTTTCGCGCCGTTTTCAAATGTTACCAGGGTAGTGTTTTTAAAAATTGAGGACAAACTTCGTAAATTTTTTTTCAAATATTTTTTTATTATAGGCATGTAATTTGTAATTTAAAATATGCCACAGTCTTCTACAATTACATATTATTATCATTTAGTAACGAATTGACAAGTATTAAATATATAAATGGGTATCAATACTTTCAATTCTGGAAAAGGGACATACCAGGGGAGTGGTTTTTGAGATGTATAACATTTTTTTTCTCGAAAATTATTATATTAAATTATATAATGAGCAATGGTGAACCAAGAATACCACATTTATGTTCATATTAATCCTAAACATTTTTAAATTATAGTACTTATTCTAATAAAATTTGCTTGGGACAGTGATTTTCCATTTAGCAGAGAAATGCCCATTTATAAGCTTTCCTTTTGATAATTACGTCTTATTTATTTACGTTTACGGATATAATGATACTAACTGTAATATCATTTAAATCGTTTAGTGGGCTTTTTTAATACGTTATTTTTTTATATTGAGGTTTTAAATATATTCTTAGTTAAAATTTAACTAAGAATATATTTAAAACCTCAATATAAAAAATATAAAAATTAAAAAACTATATATTTTTCATATAACTCAAAAATATTTATTATTTATTCCTTAAATTTTCATTGCTTTATCTTCTAATTCAAATGTGGTTGCATTAATATATTACTTCATATTCCGATAAGTTTCATACAAATCAATTCAATAACTTTTAGTTCAAGGAGTCACAAATGCACATAAGTTTAAAAATTCTTTATTTCTTCTATGAAAAAAAATATAAGCATGTAAAACAAAGCCGTCATAATAATATGAATCCTCATAATACTTATAAAGGGAAATGTTAACCTGTTTTAACCTGCATTACCCCCTCCCCCCGTGACCCCGGGCTGGGGTCGGGGGTTACCCCGCTTAATATTTTAAGGGAAAACGCCTACAGTGCCACATTAGTTTTTCCTTTTGATGTCGCCCATGTCTACCGGTAATGGCATTCTGTTACCATTTTAATAGGATCCCATCGATTAGCATCAACACGTTATTATACACTGGACATAATAAGTTATATATTAAAAGGAATTATTTATATGTATATAATTCATTAATAATATTACTCTAAGTTGGCCTTCTAATGCTAGTTTTACAGTCATAAATTTTCACAAATTATGATATTAACGTAGCCTATCGAATTAGATTCCAAAAACGTGTCGTACATAGTATGTATATACTTATACTAAGTAACTGATAAAAATAAGGCACATATCCAATTGAATAATATGAAAACTTTTAAACAACATATTAACTTTAAATGAAACTAATATTTTCCGGGTATACTACGCGAGCTTTATTATTGTATAAACGTATGTAGTTTACACACGATTCATACTTATTTTTATACAAAAAATAAAGCAAAAATATTAGTTTCATTTAAATGAATAAAACTCTTCAGTCGTTGATCTCATAACATATTAAGTAATAATTTCCATATAAATGTAAGTATAAACTATATATTATATCAGATGAACATCACCATATAATACTAAGTTGAGTTTTCTATAAACAATTCATTCATTTTCACTTGATGCTTTCTTTGAAGTACCTACCGCTGCAGGCTCCGTCACCCACACTCGCTTGGCTCATGACGTACCGATAATGAAACAAATATTTTAAAGGGATGTTTTATATATAAAATAGAGAAATGTATGATGTTATCATATTATATGTGTGTTTTTTATACCGTGACATCAAAAAGGTATAATTGTTTTGTATTTAACATACCCTTTCTAATTCATACCCCGATATTAACCCTTTGACAGTATTTAATTGTATGTTTGTTTATTAAAGCTGTCTATTTGTCACGTTCCCACATACTTATTCTATCAAGTTTTATTTATTTATTTTTTCGATATTATTTAATAAAACAATAAAAAAAATGAGATAAAGATTTCATGAATATTTTTTTTTATATATTATGAATGTAATTAAAAAACTTTATATAATTAAAAATAAAAAGGTTAATAATAACATATTTCTTAAAGAGAATATAATCTGAATTAAATTTCCATTAATTCGTACCTAATGTCTCACGAAATACATAATAATAACATATGATATCATTTAAATTCTATACAATAATTAAATTATCATTAAAATATACTTGATATATAAAAGAACACATTCAGAATGATAGCGCCACAGTGTAACAATCTAATGTAGTATATTCTGTCATATTAACCGTTTTAACGACAGGGCATTTTATTTAACAACATAATCACACGGCATTCATTGTAGGGATCGCGATTGGCTGGTTAATTGTAGCTATAATGAAGCGGCTAAATGTGCTTTGAGGCTAAAAGACATGACAGTTATAAGTAATAAATCAATTCATAATTTGAATGAAAGTACGTTTTATTGGAAAAAATATGGAAAGAAAATTCTAAAAAGAATTAAATTTTATAGGAAACGTAACTCTTCTATGAAGTCTTATCCAAAACCTAACAAATTATGTTTGAGTAATTTTCGTAAAAAAACTGCCAAAAATATTCGTCTTAATTACGTATTAATGATTCCCGCTGACGTTAAGTTTATAAATGACTCAATCCATAAAGATGTCACAGCTTTCAACTAAAATTTCACAAATTCAATCGCACCGGAAATTCCACAGCAACATACGGACAGATTACACAAGAGAGATGTGTTTTCCAACTGTATATAACACAGTATGCAGAATCATTGACACTGTAACACACTGTGTCGTGTGTCACACACACTGTGTCGCTAATGGAATCGGTCAAGAATTTTTACGATTACCCGTTGAGACAATCGTGTCGTATTTAATTTTAAATCTTTTTAAACGTCCGATCAATTGTATACTTTATGATCATATTTTAAGGTTTATTTTAGTATGCAAACGAGACTATGTAATAAATATCCGGGGCGCCAAGTGGATTAATTCTGTACTGTAACATAAGGCCAGTAGGACACATAGTCGTTTGTTTATATAATTTGTGGAGGATTCATGTAATGGTCGCAATGTGAACGCGATATAGCTCTGACATTCGACGCACGCGCGTCTCAAATACTTAGCGTGGACAAAACTCGATGCTTGGTTCAAACAGACACATGGAAGTTCATAGTTAATACACTTAGAAGAAATTTTATAATAACAATAGGAAGATCTTTATAAAGTATAGTAAATTATTTATATATAAAGCTGGATAGAGAAATGTATTATTTCAACTTAATTAAATTAATTAATTCCTATGATTTAAATGTGTAGTGTAAATTCATTCTTATTTTCACACCACAGGTCCGTCATTATTTCAAATAGTTAAAAATTTCTTATTGTAGTATCCCTTATATTTCTAATTTAAGCATACACTTGCTAAGTATATAAAATATATTATGCACTATACATATAATTTTATATGACGCTCCCAAAAAAAAACTACATTTACATAATATATAAGAGTCTTCGTCCAGGCATTATTTAATATATACATTATACATCAATAAGATCCAGTAAGTACATAACCCCAATACCAATTTGAACAGGTCCCACGTCAAAAACATAATTGGCATACCCTTCGCTCTGACGACGATGTAGGAATCTGGATGTACTGGAAGTGGCTGATATAAAATAAATTAATATTATATATTAATATATACGCATTAATTAAAATTTAATAACGTATATTTCTTTCTAGTTTGATATTAAACTACTTTATCTTTGTTTTAAACGAAGAAAACTAGTTATAATTTACAATTAACTTATTTGAGAACTATGATTTTTTCTCTCATTATATTTAAGATAAAACATATTTCTAATCTATAAGTAATATTAAATTTGGTAACAATATTCAATTCTTATGTATTATGTATTTTAATTTCCACCCTCCATATTCAAAATTCACCCTATCTTTCCTTTTCCGTTCTATATATATATATATATATGATCGTAACAGCCTCCGATGAAAGGTCAACAGCCCCCCCAGCCACCCTCGTCTCCAGATTTGAATATTTTACCCTCGAAAATTTAAGCATTACAGTTTTCCGCGAGTGAACTTAAATTAGTTGGGTAATATTTAACGAAGGTAGTTTAGCTTTTTTCATATTTAAAATGTCCCTATTAGGAATATTTAAATCATTTCAAGTTCCGATTCGATTTCAATATGATTCCATTATAAAGACCCAACAAAGGGATATCTGAAATCTATATTCAGTGGTTTTCTCGTTAAAAGGTTCCGGCGGCGACTTCCGGCTCGAAGGACCAGAACGGAAATGTATAAGAAATGGCGCGGAATAAAGCCTCAGTGATTTTTTAAGTACACTCGGAAAATTTTATTATAGATATCGAATTATTGTCATGTCGAAGAAAGGGGTGCCTTTTATATAAAGATTATAATGAGCTCACATCAAATATGCCATAGACTTTGTATTTGTAACTGATTATAAGTTAATTATCGATTTTGTAACCC